ATAAATAGCTTGGAGAGGTTGAGCAACAAGACCAACCAACAGATCAGTTATTGCCAGACAACGATACAAGAGTTTGGATGGCGGATGAAGGGAAGTTTCCTTGTTTAGGGCAACAAGAATAAGAGAATTTCCAAGAAATGCTGTGATGGAGAGGATAATTTTGACTACCACGATGTAAAGTGATTGATGCTGTGATCCAGCTACTAAAGAGGGGGAACAAATAAGTTCTTCATATGTTTTAGTCTGGGTTCCATTCCTCGTTGGGTTTATTGCCGTTATCATTCTTAAATTGTAGCAAGGAATATTTCGCTTAGACCGCTACCACGCAGACAACTAACTGGTCCATACGAAGAGTACGACGACCTTCTACGCCGCGAAAACTTCTCAACTCATAGTCTTCTTTCACACGGAAAAAAAAAGGAAGTTTTATCATCTAATAAAGCTGCTTGCCAGACCTGCGTGTTCAAAGGACCTCACTGGTGTTATCAAATATACTAATGATCAAGCATAAGGTCAAGATCGCTGGATATTGGCCAAGTTCGTTTTTCGCGCTTTTCTGGACTGAAGCGAAGTCGAGGTCGATAAACACACACACATACACAAAAGAAGAACGAACGAGGCTATTATCCAGCCATCTCGACCGAACAAACGTGGCCATTAAAGGATTTATTATATTAGCAAACTGATTTATCATAAAGAATGAAGCCCCTACGCCTCAAAAAAAAAATAATAATAATAACAATAAAAATAATAATAATGTATGTACATATGACATTTCTACTTTTTTCCGGCTTGAACAAATCAGCTTCAAGGAAGCGATCGAACATCAAACGACAAAAAAACGAAACTTAGCTTTTTCCGAAAAGGAAATCTAACTGAAATTTAATCCGAGGCAATTACACTTCTTGAAAGCGAGAGACAGTATCTATGCCACAAAATATTCTCAGACATTTCGTTACTTAAACACTCAGTTGCTTGGTTTTTTCTGTAAGTGACGAGAGATATTTTTGTCTGACAGCACCTGCCAGGCCATATCCATGATCACGCAAACCTCACTTTCTAAATTTCATTTGCATAGAAAGTTCCTCATTTAGCGCACTTATTTAAAATGCGAATTCGCAATACTTCTCCTGTCACAAGAGATGCCAATTTCTTCCCAGGAGTTGCATTAAATATGACTCTATAAATTTCTCTGTAACAGGTAATTCTGTCATGTCATTCCGTCGATATATTGTAAAAGTTCTCTTACTACTGATACAAAAGTCTAACGTTACAGCACCATGAAGGATAGAACAATTGCCGGCCTCCCGAGGAAAAATTTTCCCGCAAATTACCTTCTACAATAAGTGAGGCAGGATGTTTTTTTCCAAATTCTTATAATAATATACCAATGAAGGGGAGCATCGAAGATCTACCAATGTCTTTTTCTGTGCTCCACCTTCGGTTAGCTTTGTTGTGGCCATCATTCTTCACTCGTTTTGTTTTGTTTTTTTTTCGTCAGGTTACGCGTAATTGCAACGGAAACATTTAGTCTTGAGAGCCCCTTCCCATCCTAGATCACCTAAAATTTACTTTCATTCGATTAATCATATTCCCCACTAAATTATATCTTCAGTTATTGCAAAAGCCAAGTGTATGATGGGTTTTATTAAAAGTAACTGTATAAAAGACCTTAGAAGGGACCTTGTGAAGACCCTATCTCTATAGCTATCACTGGTAAGATCACATCTCTGCAACGCGTCTCCCACACTAATAGTCGAGATCGAAAACATCCAGTGCAGAGCCACACGATTTATATGCAAAAGTCCTGGCCTCTCTTACAAGGAATGTCTATTAGAACTGAACTTACTTTCCCTGAACTATTGTCTGGAATATCTAGACATTGTCCTTTTCTTTAAGTGCAAATTAGGCTTAATTGATCTAAAAAGAAACGACCTCTGAGTTTTGTAGTGGTCACTCGTGCCATTGCGCTTCCGGCCTTTTTCACAAAAATATGAGAGCTAAAATCTCACTCTATAGAAATTCCAGTTTTTGTACCAATCTATAACATACGGAACACCTCACCTGATAACATAAGAACTAAAAAGGAACTACGTCTTTCGTCCAAAAGCTAATTTTTTTCTTTTACCTAAGACGTAGCAAAGTTTTTAATTAAGACGACATCCAGTCTTTTGACATAGTTTGTGTTAAATGGCTTCGCTTCAATGCTCTAAATTTTTGTACATGTTAATCAACTATGTTTTTTTCTTTTTTTATCTTTTTCTCTTTCGTTAATGACTATTTATCTAGTTATTTCTTAGCATGGTGGCTTGTAAGGGGGTTGGGTTTCAATTCTGTCTGTACGTAGGGGATAGAGAAAGGTAAGTTACCTAGTAGGGGACAACCTTGTCCTATTGTAAATTTACCTGCCTTTGGAAAATTGTTAAATAAGTAAATAAAATTGAATAAATAAATTGGTAATTTTGTTACTTAATAAACATTTGTTTTGTTTTCCTCATGATTATTTGTAACTGCATCTAACGAGATATAAATTTGTCTTACAATCTTATATTCCAACTTTGGTTTCAGGATCGATGATGCACGTTTTACATAAGCTTGACCTGCTATCGACGTCGTTTGCTTGTGTTCTTGTTTGCATCTATTTGTTTTCAAACTCAGTCCTAATATGAACTGAGAGATTTAACGTTGAAGAGACTAGAGGCTTTTTCAATACTTATGTATTTCAAAGGATGTCTGTCTAAGTCACTTATTCCAGTTATACACCTTAGGACCTTCACTTGCCTTCCTAAAGCTTTTTCTTTCAGCTTTCTGAAGTCGGTAAAAAGTGGCAAATTTGCAAAATGTAACTACGTATAATGCACGATCCTCGCAGTAGAGAGCGCTATTTATGTAATAGCGAAAATCAGACCTGAAAAAAATCAGGCCTGTACGGGATTCGAACTACTGACCTCTGCGATACTAGTGCAGCGCTCAACCAATTAAGCTAACAAGCCAACTGGGAGCAGGCCGTTAAGTTGATTCGTAATAAACCCGTGATGATAAATCAGATACGATGAATATATAAAGTTCATATATTTTTGAACTGCGTTTATAGATACGTATAATGCACGATCCTCGCAGTAGAGAGCGCTATTTATGCAATAGCGAAAATCATACCTGAAAAAAATGTAACTGTTGTATCTATAATTCGAAACTAGGCGCTCGAGAAGATACATCCGTGACCTAGGTGGGGAATTATTGATATCGCTCCCTCCAGTGCCACTATTTGAGAAATTTCTTTCTATGTTTATCTCTACTTGAATTGTAGACATATCTCATCGAAGAGTTAACGTTTCTTGTTCTAAAATTGGATTCCTTCTCATTTTTTGTGCAAACCTGACTCTTGTTTTACGTGTACTTTTCTTTCGTGTTGTATTATTTTTAATAAGATCATGGACTTTCGATAACTTTGGTACGTTTTTACTTAAACGGCTTCGTAGATAACTCTACTGTTTTTTACTTTTCTGAGAAACGTTTTAACATCTTCACTGGTACTCTGCTTGGTTCACGATCACGCCTATAGCCATGGCATTCACACAAAACACGAGTACAATTACAATATACATACTTTGCATGACGAGATCTCAATTGTTGTAATTTTACTGACACTGTAACTGTAACATCATTATGTTCATGTACATTAGTCATATTGACAACTTTTTCAAGTAGATCACAGTCATCACGAGTATTCATCACATCTTCTACTAAATACATACAACTTCACGCGAAGGGCAAACCAACATTCACGATCGCTTGTACAATAAGTGATTATGTACAAAATACCAAATCGCACTTTACAAGTATTGAACACAATGAAAACCAATAACATAAACAGGATAAATAACGGAAGAGCTAAGCTTAGTTATTTAACCTTACTGTTCAAATTGCTTCAGTCAGTATTATCCAATTCGCTGTTGTTAGCGCCACCGTCGAAGTTGTGTTCACGAACATTCTTGACTTTTTCAGCAACTAAGGTGTTCGTCTATGCATCATAGTTTGTTTTTGAATCGGCTGTCACAGTTTTGCCAGTATTTTCGTGGTTATAGCTCGTTCATTTCCTCGTGAGAACTAGTAAAGAACATTGCACATTTGGCTAGCTTTCAAGCTCGAGAGTTCGTGGACCGGCCCATTCCGAAAACGCTCGAGATCATCTAGTGTGGGCCTACCGCGAACGGCGTGTGCATTTGTGAGATGAGCGTATAAGACATAAATCTTTGTAAATCGGTCTTCACAAAACACAGCATTCTGTAAATTATGCTGTTTACGAACAGCGAACAAATGACAACGCAAGTTGTCGCACTCTCATCCCCAGTTTCCGCAGTTTACGCAAGGAACCCCTGGGACCATGACCCCGCTTTTGGCGACCAATAACGGCATTTTAAGACTCGGGCTTTCCCACAGAAGTCCGAGTAATGAAATCCAAAGAGGTCTTTACAGTAGAAGTTCAACCTGGTATCGTCTCGGTTAATTTTATTTCTGTTAAATGTATGCACCACTCTTGAATAAAAGTATAAGTAGTAAAATGATGGATAAAAGAACTCTTTACAAACTAAATATCTCGTAATTAACCCTCACATCTCGTAAATATTTCTTTGGGAGAAGTATTTTGGTTAAATAAATCACAACAAGGCAAAAACTAATACTTTCTATAAACTAACTTATTCAAAGGTGATCTTTACTCGGTTTTTCCTGTCCAAGCGTGTCGGTTACAAAATGATGCTTTTTCAAACGGTTTTACGAAAGCTCGGTAATGTTTGCTTTTCTTATATAATTACCCTTTAATTACAACCAATCGATTTACTTAAACGCATTTTATATTGCAGTTTCCGATTAGATCTGACTGGCCACTTCTACGTCATCTCATTTCGTTTTCAGTGACCCTTCTTTTGGTTTCATTGCGAAAACAACTCAAAAAAAAAAAAGAGAAACATCTTATACCCTTCAACCCATGCTATGGCATCAACGTGGTCGTATGAAAATTACGAGTTAAATGACCAAAGAAACCGGCGCACAAAAATGGAGAATGGGGACATATTTCCACCGTAGTCATGTGGACACACAGAGCTTTCTTTATCCGCTTCCAGGCCTTATCTGTTTCATCATCTTCCTCATCATATTCCTGTTCAAAAATTACAACAAAGGAGTTCGAGTGAAAACTTCTGAAACAGATGAGGGTGAGCGCAGGTAAGTAGGTCTTTTCCAAAGGCTATCTTTTGTTTATAGGAGACAAGCTGATAACAGGAAAGAAAGGGAATTTATAGAGGAATAATCGTTACCGGATTGCATTGAGTTTCTCTTCCACCGACTCCCAAGGACTGCGTTCTTCACTGAATTCAAGAAGCTCTAGAGACAAAGCCAAATCAATTCTAAGAACATAGAGAACTTTGCAGTTGTTAAGGCGTAAGAATACACAATTAATGATGTTTCATTTTTCAACTGAATATGAAACTGAGAGAAAGGCTTGCTTAAGCCCTAGAGAGTTAGAAATAAGAAACAAGAAAAACCCATGAATTTTCAGATTGCTACATCTTAAAATACAGATAGAAGCAGTCCTACTTGAATATTTCACACAGACCTTGCGCGAGTTTCATTTCGCTGATCCAGTCACCCTCTTTGTAATACTTTACACGCAAATTCTGCATAAAAGATATAGATTAATAAATTAACCATTTAGCTCATTCCTCAGTTGTAGAGGAATGCAAGTATTCATAAACTCCTACTTTCCCTGCCACTTTGTTTTTCCCTGACGGTCACACTTACATGTAACACTAACGCATGCTGCCACTTAGCGTTAACCTCGCACGCTGGCGCGCACTAACAGTGTTATGCTTACTTACCAGGAAAGGAAACCTTTCCATGCGAGTTAGCTGTAAAATACGATCCACATCATATTCTAAACGAGCGACTTTCTTAGCCTGTGTGTAGGTTGTACTCATCTGCGCAATGAGAATGTTGAAGAGAATCACAATCACAGTCCCCATGTAGGTCATCATCAACAAAATAGAGAGCCAGCTGCCAAAAGCTAAGAAAAGGTAAGCCAGTAGATTTGCAGGCTTGTAACCTTACCTTGTTTTTGCTCTTTGCAATCACATGTAAACAAGACCTGTCTCTCCAGCTGAAATGGTTGTTGTCTGTCTGCTTTTCACTGCCAGGGGTTGTATTGAGCCTGGGAGGGCGTCCTCCCTCGTCGCCATCCAAGATATGATAATAAAAGTGATAATCTATGGGATCATCTGTGATTGTCCTCCAAGCTCCTTCAATTCCTTCTTTCTCATGTTTACTTTTGTAACTGTCTTTGCGTTTTGGAAGATGTGGCCAGTGAGGATTCACCATTTGGTCTAGCAGAGCCAAAGTTGTTTTCTGCACAAAACGACATACATGACTTGTATAACACACGAAATATAACAATAAAATTTATACATTAGGATGTGGAGGGATTAAACTTGGTGTCCGTGAAACAGTGCTCGATACAAATAGTAGAGCGGGTATAATGTGTGGTATGCAGAAAAGAACAACTACATATACATCCCTACACAGACCTGTTTCTTAGCAAATAGTGTAATATATAAGCGATGGTATCGCATTATTCTGCCATTAAAATCCCCCGAAGAGTGGGCAACCACGAAACAGGTCTGTATAGGGATGTATATGTAGTTGTTTTTTTCTGCCTACCACAGAGTACATTAGGATGAATATAGAACAATGAATTCCACAAAAGTGATACTGACTATTAGCCCCCTCTATATTGGACTTCTCTCACTAAATCTCCAATAAGAGCTGCTCCTCAATAAGTCTTTCTCCCCCTTCTTTATCACCTGTCTAACTGAAAGCCTCGGAAATTTGTTGTAGTCTCAAAAGGACAATTTCTTATCATACAACTAGGTCTCCCACATAATTATTTTAGCAACCCTGCACAAAATGCCTACATACCTGTCCATGCAGGTTCACTAGGGTACTATGTAATTTTGGAAATTACTTATTTGTATATAGCGGTAAAATATATAGACTAATCTTAAGTACTACCACTACCTTGTAGACAGAGTGCTTAAGTTAAACTTTCCTATTAAAATGATATTACATGTTAAAACAAAAACTATAAATTTCCCACCTTCATTTTAGGATTTTCAATGACAAACTTAAAACTGAAGAAAGATGGTTGAGGTTCTGTCATATCACCTGGTCTCCATGAAAATAAGCTCTGGACTCTGGGATTGAAATGCAAAGAGATTGTCTAGTACATATGCATTGTAACCATTTTCTGCATTATAATCTGAGGTTTGCCACAAAAATGTTTGGTTATATAGGTTTCAAACATAACAATGACTGCACATAATTGTCGAAGCTTTGTTGAATTTAGACATAATATACTAGTATACACACACACAGGAAGTCTGTTTCACTTTTTCCATATTACAGTGCTCAATATACAACCATCTTAGATCGAAAAATCATTTAACTTTATAAGACTAGTATAATCGCAAATTTAGGTCCTTGTCATTATTCCAAATCATGTTGCCCTATTCAAAGTGACACTTCTGGGTTGTACCCTTTTCTCTGTATATACCTTTCATTCCACATCATTCTTATCAAATATGCTGCCACCTCATCTTTCTCTGCCAATAAAGCCATCTCGACAGGAAACATGGGTTTAGTTGTCTTCGGTCGTTTTGTCTCCACGGAGAGCAATAATGGACACTTCTTCACAAGTGTTTTGGCAACTTTTAAAAATCCAAGTTCTGCAGCATAGTGTAATAATGTCTTCTTAGTTTTGTCATTCACATCTCTGAATGTCTCATATCTGTTGCCCAAGTTCAGTTCACCCCTCAACAAAATTTCCAGCAACCGATTTATCTGCAATAAGACATAATACCTGTTTTCAAATCTTGCTTTGAAATCAGTAAGATATCACTTTGTTCATTCCATTCTATGAGTCTAGTTACACATTTTTTTAAGTATTCCATTACATTTATCATAGCATCATGTATTATAAAGCCATTATAGTCAATTAATATCTTTATGGTATCTATTAATTAAATATTATGATTGCATTCAATTATTTAACTGATTTCTGAGAGCATTACAAAGTATCCTAGAGACTCTGGATATATAATAACTGCCAAACTTCATGATACATTTATTCATACTGAGGAAACAGTAGTGGGGAAACAAACAAAGCAGTAGACCCCCACTTTAATCATAATTAACGTACCAGCTCTTCCAAGCCTGGAAGCTTCTCAGGATTATCTTTGTATTGTTTGGATGCTGGCCAATTTTTCAACATTAATAGAGCTGGATCCTCCCTGTCAAGTCCTCCATTATCTTTGTATTTCTGAATCAGTCTTTCAACGAGGACTTCATCCATGGCTCTGTTCCACAACACTCCATTACTCTGCTTCTGACTAACCTACAGAGTGGAGCTAACACTAAAATGCTTTATAGCGTTTTTTTGAGCACGCAAGATTCGAAAGTTTGCGCATGCTCAGATGTTGATCTTGCGAAGATTTAATGTATGTTTTGGGAGCAAAAAGGAAACAAAATCAGGCGATTTCAAGCTGGAACACAAAACAAAAGTTTAAACAAGGGAAGAAACTGCCTCGGTGGCCCCTATTCTTTTTTACTTTAAAACGATCGGCGGGAAAAACTACACGTACATTGAAGTTTGTAGAAGCTTTCACCAGAGCAAAATTTGGGTAAATTAAGATCAAAGCCGAATTACCGCTACCGAGCACCTCCCTTTGTATTGTAACGTTTCAGCTCAAGAAATAAACTTTTATGTTAATAATTAACAACAGAAGACAACAGTCCGACCCTTTTTAATCACATTTTGGTCACTTTTAGTGACCTTGAAGACAAACCACATCAAAAATTATCCACGAAAACATAACACCGGCGCTTGCTTTAAAACTCGGGCAGAAACTCTACCACAAGAGCCTTATTTTTTAACTTGTTCCTAAGGTTCAGTTCTTCCCAAACATTTTCGCTCTAATAGGGAAGAAACATTTATATAATTTTCCTAATGGCATCGTAAAATAAATGTAAACTTCTACAATTCTCGTAAATTTTTAACAATAGCTAAACATGCTGTAATGCTGCAAAATTATATTCAAAGTTTATCACGAGGATAATTAAACTGACGGGTTACAGCTGAGAAAATATTTTTCTAGAGTTTGCCCTGAGAGACCTGAGGAGTTTTAAATCAGGATGGGCTTGTACGTTAGGCCTAATAGTATTTTTCAAGTTCTAGAATCAATCAGTAATCATTTGCCAATCATCTAAATTACCTTGATCCAGAACTCTCTGTCATATTGACTGGACAAGAAATCTTCGTGGTGACGGTCTGTTGTTGTCTGCGAGTCTTCCTTGTTACTGATATCTTTAACAATGAAATCCTCCTCAACTCTCCTCATAATTTTCATAATAATTTCATTATAATTCATACCCGGCTTTGAACAAGTTGTAAGTATTTTGGATGGGCGAAACCTTGCGAAAATGGCGAATCCACCAGCCCGGGAACAGAGCTGAATGACTGAGCTGAATAATGAAATGCTACGTCAGTGGGTATGCGGTCAAGAACGCGGGCTCAAGAGTCCTAAGTCTAAAATTTAGCGAAACAGCGGAAAATAATAAGGGATGACCTTTAAAACCGAGGAACTCTGTTTTCGTCGAAGGCACTTTCCTATTTCCAAAGGTCTAAAGGAGAAAATTAATTTTTGAAAATTTTTAGGGGGTGTACCAAATTTTTGGAGGTTGTTCTGGGAAAGAAAAGCGGCAAGGAAAACGACGCCTCGAAGCAACAGAATAGGAAATCAACGATGCAAACGACTCAAAATCCGTGTTTCTGTGGCAAAACCTGGCGCATGCGTATGCGTTATTCAGCTCGACAGAGCTGAATACTCAAGACGCCTGCGCTAGTTTTTGCCGCGGAAACACGGATTTTGAGTCGTTCGCGCAAGAGCTAGCCTGCGTAGCAGCCTTAGAGGAAGGGGGAGGGTGTTAAAGAGCCGAGGGGAGAGTGCTACGTGAGAGGGTATGCGGTCAACAACGTGGAAACAAGTGTCATAGGTCCAAAATTTAGCGAAATGAGCGGAAAATGATGAAGGGCTAACTTTTAAAACCGAGGAACTCTGTTTTCGTCGAAGGCATTTTCCTATTTCTAGAGATTTTAAGGAGAATACTAATTTTTGAAAATTTTTAGGGGGTGTACCAAGTGTTTGGAGGTTGTTCTGTAAAAGAAAAGCGGCAAGGAAAACGACTCCTTGAAGTAACAGAATAGGAAATCAACCATGCAAACGACTCAAAATCCGTGTTTCCGCGGCAAAACCTAGCGCATGCGTATACGTTTTTCAGCTCTGTCGTCGTTCGCATTGTTGATTTCCTCTTCTATTGCCTCGAGGCGTCATTTTTCTTGCCGCTTTTCTTTCACAGAACAACCTCCAAAAACTTGGTGCATCCCCTAAAAAATTTTCAAAAATTAATTTTCTTAACCTCTGGAAATAGGAAAATGCCTTCGACGAAATCAGAGCTCCTCGTTTTCAAAAGTCAGTTCTTATTAATTTCCCATAATTACGCTAAATTTTAGACCTAAGACACTTGAGCCCGCGTTGTTGACCGTATACCCTCTGACGTAACATTTCATCATTCAGCTCTGTCCAGCCCGGGGTCATTTCTTCTCGTTGTCACCAGTATGGTCACCAAATGTCATTATTTGGTGACCATGATTCAACTGGCAAAACCTTGGCCGGAACGTCAAAGTAACCGCTCCTCAAGCTCTTAAATGAAGGGACCTAGGGATGGGACATGCACCTCTATCGGGTGATTAATAGTCGTTTCATTTTTCTTTTTTCCTCCACTGCTTATAATGATCAAACTAAGAATGTCCATAGCTTAAGGGATGTTCCAATTACTCCAGAAACCAGACAGTTTAATTAATGGTAATAAGGGGAGTTCAAAATCTGTTCCACATCTGAAGTGTTAGTGATAGTGAACAATAAAGGTTGAAGCTTGGTAAAATCTCGATCGTCGCGCCATCGTCCATCAAATATTTTTCATGACCCCCTACAGGTTAACAGAGGCAAACAGTAGTTCAAACTCAATTTGAGCGAGCGGAGAAGAATTAATTGTGTTCTCAAGAGCTATTACAGGTATTACCTTATGATAGGTGCTAATTAGACGGAAAAGAGAATTTTCATAGAAAAGGGTACAACTACAATTAGTGACTTGCCCTCCGTTTTTACAAAACTTGAAACACCAAGAAATAATTAGAACACTTGCATAGCAGCAGGCACGCCCTCATCAGTTTTCACAAGTTCTCAAATTATTGGCGATATTCACAAGCTTCATCAGTGAACCTTTTGATTACAGGCTTTGTAATCAACGTTCTTTGCGTATTCGTTTCAAGTCGATGTTATGTGAAAGCGCTTTTTCGACAGCCACTTTGTTCTTGATGTATAAAACAGCCACTTTGCACTTAATACATATTGCAGCCATAGCGCTATGATTTAAATTTACGAGTGCTAACCAACGGCGAACAACCCTGCTTAAAAAAGCCATTTGTACTATACTGCCGTGTACAAACTTTAATCGAAAATGAAGTACGTTATGTTCCTTTTCACTGGACATGACTGCGACGTAGCCGAAAGACTCGAAGATTATCTACAAGGCAGATTAAGAAATATAGCGGACATGAGAAGTATTGCAGGCACTTTAGCTCGGAAAGAGAATCTCTCTTGGGCAATTCGCAGCAGTGACTGCATCGTCTTGTTTGGAACAAGTCAGGCTTCCTCCCTTATCAAAGACAAGAAGCAAGAAACTGAGGAAGGTTTCATCACATTTGACGGCAAAGTCATACATGACGCGTTCACAGGAAACAAAGAACTCGTGGACAAACTGATTATTGTGTACCCGGCAGAACGAGGGGAGAATGATTGGATCCCAGATGGTTTTGATGAGAAGAGAATATTTCATTTGAAAGTCGAAAAATTCCAGGCAAGTCCCCTGCTATATCAGCTTGAATATTCCATAAGGCGAACTTTGGGACAGCCTTCAGAAGATATGTACCGTTAAAACGTACAGTAAAACCTTAGCTACTTATTTGCTCAGGTAACCTTAGCCTTCAGCTACCTGTCAGTTACCTATATACCTAATGATTTGGTTATGTGTTATGGAAATCAGTAATAACAAGTAAAAAAAAATTGAAGTGCGCCGAAAATGTTAATGGCTTAACTGTTTAAAACTAATTTTTTTTCTTAGCATGTAAGGTTTCATTTCACAATGCTAATCATCTACTGCACAATTAGAGAGTGTTCACATATAGGGCTCTAAATTGTCAAATGACATAAACATAACACATAATTAACAGGAGTTAATAAAAGTCACCTATGACATCACAAGCTGTAGCATTCATTTATCATTCTTTCCGCGTACACGTTTCTCAAATTTAGTAAGTTACTTTCAAATGTAAAAATCTGCACATTGGGAAAGTCATGATCTAGTAAGACAAAACATTTAGCCAAGATTTCTGTACAGTCCCATTCTTCATTGTGGATACAGTTATTGGATAAAGAAGACAACAGCGAATACAATAGATTACCCTTGAGACAACGGCTTTGTTCTACGGAAATTTTCCAACTTTGCGACAAGATTACATGGTGTAAGGTATTCATTGCGAAGCATAGTAGTGGTGCGTCAGTGTAAATGGTCTTCGCTATTGAATTGCTTGCAAAGATGAGCTGAGTGAGAAGTAAATTTTTTTAACAACAATCTCGCCTTCAAGACGGGTAAAGAAATATGAACATGACGAAAGATCCGGTGGTACTTATCTTGTTTACATTTACCATCCCCTGCGTGATATCCATTTCTTATGTATCTCCTTTCATAACCACCACTGTGTCAGTGTGGTGTGTTTTAAAAAGCAGTTTTTTTTTTAAACTGGTCGTTACCACAGCGGCTTTGTTTATTGCTTAATGAGAAATTTGGCCTCAACTTCACAACAACAATTTCTCTATCTTTTCTCGTCGGTGGCTTACAAACCACAAGTGAATAAAAATTCCCAAGAAAACCGAAGTAATATATCTCTCGATGTGTCGTCAAGCTAGAACACCAAGAGATCCGTTTATTCTCCTCCAGGCCTCATCTGTTTCACCATTTTTCTCATAACGTCCCTGGAAAGAGAAACTCGCAATAAGAAAAACTGCTGACACACAAAAAAAGGAAGCGTGGGGGGGGAATAAGTCAGCTTACTGACGAACAACGGGAAATCCAATAATTCAACTTTGATTTATATTGTTCCCCGTGATCCTCTCAATCAACCTAATTCAGACTTGATCCCTCACGTTTTCCGAATGTAGACAGTTCGGTCGTGTTTTTTCAAATGCGCTCTTCGTGGTTGATTGCGCTAATAAAGAAGCTGATTGTGAAAAAAAGTAGGCATTGGAGACACAGTGGCTACCTTATCTCTATAAGTTTCCCTTCCACCGACTCCCAGGGATTACGATCTTCACTGAATTCAAGAAGCTCTGCAAACAAACCAAGATAATATGTAACGACATAATGAAATTTCTCGGCATTACAGTTTCAGGATGTTTTGCTACTCAAAGCCTGCCTCCACGGACGAATTGAAACTAAAATATTAGAAGAAACTGCTCTGTTCCGACTGCCACATAGCTTGCAAAAAAGAGAAAGGCTTAGAGCATAAGCAGCCAGTTTTATCTTGTCCACGAGTTAGCAACAGCAACTTTGTTCCCTCTCTAATCTTAATTTCTCAGCCGACGTTCCACTGACAACACTTGAAGATGACATGTTTAATTAAGAAACATCTATCCCAAGTATTTCCATACCCACCTTTTGCGAGTTTCATTTCACTGATCCATTCTCACTCTTTGTAATACTTCATGCGTAAATTCTGCAGGGAGAAACTTCATTGTCAACTAAATCAACTAATTCTTCCCGTCCTCTCTCTCTAACTCACATTGGTACGTACCCACAGCACATTTACTGGGATTTCATTAATTTCGGAAGTAGGCAGAAGACAATTCAGCGGTAATCGAGGCAGATTTGTCACCAGTCTTTCTCTTCTGTCCATTCAACATGGCGCACAGCGAAACGATCGTGTTGTTGATTGAATTGTTAGAACTGGTTACAAAAGTCACTCAACAACCAAAAAAGAGACAAAATATCGACAAAAACACCTTTATTGATAACTGCCTTTAGAATATATTGATTGTTTAAAAAAAATTCACGCAAAAACTGGGAGGCAGAATGGCCAAAGTAGGCGGCTCCATTGTGGAGATTAGGGACCGGTCATTATTTATCGCCTGGGGGGGGTCGGAGTATTTTTGTTGTCACATCGAAGCATTTACCTGATCCCCCCGTAGAGTATCTGGTTTTTTAGAGATCCCCCCTTATCGGTAGTGGAAAGTTTCATGATCCCCCCCCCCTTTTCTCCCAGCCACCGCCAAATAACTTTTTGAATATGCAAGTGATATTTTAATAGTGGTACTTACGTCTCATGGACCTTGAACCACAACGGTAAATATTTGCTCGTCAGATACGAACTGAATTGTCGAGGAAGTGCCAATCTCAGGCTGTTCATCCAAATCCACGAAAACATAGTCATCGTCGCTCTCTGCCTCTCCACTTTCGGATTCTTCATCCTCGAATTCCACGTCATCTTCATCACTCGACAGTTCTTCTGTTATCACAGTCTCTTTATTCTGTCGGTAATAGTGACATCGAATGGCCTTCACTTTGTCAAGTTTCCGACCCACAGTCGTCAAACCATGCTTGTTGAGATACAGGTCTAGTTCTCTTACCCGCAACTTTTGAACTTTGCCACCCTCGATGAGGTTATCCCATTGAAAGTCCTTGTACGTTCGTTCGGCCTCTTGCCTTCTTCGCTCCTGAGCTGCTCTTGTTCTGATGTCCTTTCGGATCTCAATATCCTTCAAATGATTAACATATGCAATGACGTGCTTCTCTTCCACATTATATTTTGAGCAGAAGCTCTTCATGGTATCCTGATCGTTTCTGATACTGTCAGAATGTTCCTCGTACAGATCTTTAATACATTTTCTTGGAAGGTAATCATCTGGTGTCCTGCCCGTCGATTCCGTCTGATAGATATCCATGAAATGTCCAGGATTGTTTGAATCTGGTACAGGTTGCGGAATTCTTTCCGTTTCTGGACCGACCCATCTATTGTTAGAACACCAGGAACAGAGATTGGAACTTTCTTCTCTTGACTCTTTACAGGCATCACGACAGAATTCCATAAAAAGTTCTCCACGAATATAGTGGTCTTCCATAAACGATTCGATCTTTCGGAAGTATGCTGCACCGGGCGCTTGCTCTTTGTTTCGTTCTGATGCACCCCGATAGTTGTCGAGGTAAACAGAATTGAAAAAGAATAATTCATCAGGGGACTCGCTTACTTTGCTCTTGATGTAATCTTTAAGGACAGGGGCATCATCAATTCTCTCGGCTACCTGACTACAGACATACCAGGCATTTTTCTCCATCCGTTTCTTTTCGTACTCTTCGTATGACTGGAGAGACAGTTGTTTGATTTCCTCTTCTGAAAGATCCTCAAATCTCCTATATTTTTCCCACTCTAGAGTTGCGCCATCCACAAGAGCATCAGAAATTGCCGAGTTTGTTCTTTCGGCTTCACCTTGCCCGCTGTCGCCCCTCGAACGATGACATCGCACTCTATAATCGGAATTGTGAACCCTTGCTAACTCGGCGTCTCGAAATCTAACTTCGTAGTTGGAAACTCCCACGCCCGGACCAGCATCTGTAAGGTCAGCCCATCGTGGCTTTACAGGTGGAAGGCAGAGATCTCCGAGAACTTCAAGACCATGTTTACATGAACTGGTTACCCTTAAAATCCTGTCCTTTCTCGCATCTTTTTCCATGGAATCGACTTCCTCTTTAAACAGATCATCAATGGCATCTAAAATGCGTTTCGTGACTGGTATTATCTGACTAGCAAACAGAGCCCTATTGTGCTCTGACATTTCTGTGTCTTCGCAAAACTGCAACAAATTGTCAATCCTTAATTTCAAATGTTCTGCTCTCTCTTTTTCGTAAGTGAAGAATTTACAGTTACTTTCTGTTTCTCCGGATAATTTGTCTAGGTCATCTGACTCTGTCATATCATAATAAAGAAAGAGGTCATCGTGTAGTCGCGCGCAGCATTTACGAAATCCCAGTGAGTACTGTGGACTGCCAGGTGTCGGTTCGTCAACCTCAAAAGCTGATGGATCCTCATGTCGCAAACGAACCGTTTCACTGGCCCATACAGTGCCTGACGATCCCACTATTGCNTGTTTTTGCATTCGGTTTTCGGTTTTCACGAAAACTCTGATGCGGTTTTCGCTTTTTCCTTTTTGACTCATTTAAAGATGAAAATGTAGCGGTTTTGTCAGGTTTACATGCGGTTTTCGGTTTTGCTGCCTTTTTTCGTCAGTTTTTCGGTTTTTGAGGTTTTTTTCTCGGGTTTTGCGGTTTCCCAGAGGCCCCAATGCCCCCCTCCTGATTCTCTATTACAGATCTGCTTCTCTGAAGTGCTACTACACAAATGGAAGCAGTTGTTACGTGCTAATAACAGTACTGTAACGGCATCAACAAATAGTCTCACTTACTTGAATGTAGCGTAATCTTCCACCATCGGATACTGCTCGGACAGAGCACGAAACCCGCTCAACAAGACGTCTCCAAAACCACTAAAAGCAAAATTTAAAATCAAAATTACTATGTTTAACTTAGGTTTTTGCACTTAACACACGCGTTATGTTTACCATCCAAGCTCCCGGATCAGTAAATTGCTCTTTAAAAAGGGAAAGAAAAGTTTGAATAAATACATAACCTAGCCAGTAAAGAGCAGATCAAACTATAAATTCCAATAGAAGTTTCACTGACTTGAAAGAAACCACAGCCTTGATTCTATCCAGTACAACTTCAGAGCGTTGTTAAGGAGATATACTCAACAGAGACGCACCTGCGAAGTTCCTGGTTTTCCCTGGATCCGGAGTAACAGAGTGATAAATTCAATGCACCACAGAAAGAGAAAAAGATCACAACAAAAACTGCCATGGATCGTGTGACGTCATGTAAAATAATCTTGGCCAAGGTTTGTGTGTATAATCCTGTAGTCCTGCGAAAGATATAATCCCGAAGTGATTCATAGATCTTATATATAGCACTCGGTTTGCGCTGACTCAAAATACTTAGAAATTGCGTGAGGTTTTATTTTATTTTATTTTATCTTTATTTAAACACGATCAATTCATCAGCCTATAAAAATACATATCACATACGCTAAGATATTTAAAATGAAAACTACATACCATAACACTAAAGCTGTTTTCGGTGAATGCCGCGCGTTAGACTTAAAGAATGTCATTGGTCTTACGTTTAAATAAGGTCGACCGCCCATCACGGTTCTTTAATAACTAATGACCAGCAATCGGAAATTGTTCTCAAAATCTAAGAAAACGAGACCACCTATACAATCTGAACTATTATATATCGAAGAACTGCTAAGCGATCCCGAGGAGATTTTATAACTTTCAAGTACAGCGCTCAGTTTACGCTGGGCTAAGTGTCAGTATAAGGTTGAGGTTAGATTGACAAAGGAACGAGTTTTAAGTCATCAGTGCTCCTTCCGAACTAAAGTAATCAATTGGGAGTTGCAGGTTACCTTGACACACATGAAAACTTAAAGATCCTCATGAAGTTGAACAAGAAGGCCAAAGATGTCACCATCCATTGAGCTTTATGATCCACGTATCGTAACGGTATTATACACAGGATCAACAATAGGCCTAACCAGTCAAACAGGGTCATCCATTCTGTGAAATAAGAACGCCCCTCTCTGCAAGAAATCAAACAAAAAAAATCCATGACTTCTTTCATCTAAAATTTTTGAGGTGTTATGTTTTTCTTCAAACGTGGGGTCTTTAATCAAAATATTGGATCAAGTAGGAAATCTTGATGAAAGTTCTGCAGTAACCCTTGATCACCGTGATTACTTACATTCTTGTCTGATTTATTTCCTCACAGATGTAGAAAACAACCATAAGTAGGGTAAAAACCTCACAGAATCCACGCAGTGAGTCCATTGCACCGCTGTACTGGGTGGGCTCCAGTTTGGTTGAGGCATGCAGCAGAGAAAATGACATGAGCAGCAAGAAGATGCAGAACAAGGCGGCTTGAAGGCTATAGAGAAGGAAAAGTAATTCAATCAATTACCTCTGCAGGCTGGAGTAAAATGGATAAAGGGCAAGGGATTGGAAATACAAATAGAGACATAAACGTTAAGTTTTTGGTAACAGTGTCTGCATGATACTGTTCAAATTTCAAATCCTTTAATTTCTCAAAGGTTGATAACAGAAGGCTTCTGTTAACAACCTTTGAGAAATGAAAAGATTTGAAATTTGGACACTGATTTTAATGGCAACAGACTTAGGCTGGAGGGAGAAAGAAATCTGTACTAAGGCGGTGAGTGACAATCAAAAGTAAAAAGAGGGGTTAGGGTTGGAGTGCCTGTTCCCACCCCCTCCACCTCTCATCAAGTCTGACACCAAATCAAACATGGCCAGTTAAATAAATGATTGTGTGCTTCTAACCTTAACTCACCCTGATAAGATGCCTGCACTGCAAGCTAACTACAATAACACTGAACCATACTGCAGAGAAGTGCTTTCATGCACTTATTAAGTGTGCAGTGGCTTGTCCATTGAGCTAACTGCCTTCCGGTTAGCTCAACGGATAGAGCGCTGGACTGTAGTGTGGGAGGTCGAGGGTTCGAGCCCTGGCCGGACCAACACTCAAGGTCTTAAAATAATTGAGAAGAATTTGCTACCTTTCTATAACATCAAGAAATGGTTAGATATTCTAGTCTTCTCGTATAGGGACGAATAAATGGAGGTCCCGTCTCCTGCAGGGTTGGGGCAGGAGACGTTAATTTCCCACACACGAGATTACTGTGTGATGGATGTCCTCCCCTGGGGTGGGATGGGTGGGTTAGGACAGCAGGTCCACATCAGCTATTACAGCTGCCAA